ATGCCGTGGGCTCTGGCTGTCGCTCATGTTGGTGCCAAATCGCCCCGAGCTGCCCCCACGACCGCCCTCAGAGGCCTGCGATGCGATCTCCTGTCCTGGGCCCTCGGAAGTCCTCGAAGCACCGACGTCCCAGGAACACTGGGCCCCGCTGACCGCACTCTGGCTCCCAGCTCCGTCCTCCATGGCCACCAGCAGGCTCCTCGGACAAGGGCAGCTGGGCCATGGCCGGGGCGTGGGGACTCCCTGTGCCTGAGCCCCAGGGGCCCCACGTGGTTCCACCCGTGTCCCTAATGTGCCCCAATCAATTAATTATCTGTCTAGACTCGGTGGGACATACGCAGGTGACCAGGGGCCAGCAATAACGGCCTATGCCCTGGTACTTCAATGTCTAGACAGCTGAGCTGAACCGGAACACATGAACACACAATTAATATGCAATCACACAGGGTTTATTTACCTGTTCCTAGTGGGTCCTAGGCTCCGGCAAAGGCCACCCGGCGGTTCACACCGAAAGACGGACGACGAAGACGGAGACAGACAGGCGGCCGCAGGTGGGTCAGGCTCACACAGCAGGGCGGTCAGTCAGGGGCTCGTCTCAGGGAGCGACGTGGAGCCCGCCTCTCCTCGGGCAGGAGACGTCCACTGAGGAAGGCCCGGTGCTTCTATAGCCGGGAGTAAACAACTTGTGTCTTATCGGTGTGGGCCAGAGGGTGTGCCTTGTGCCAGGAGCAGGGTGTTTACACTTTCATGGCTTAGGCATTCCCATCAAGAGAGTGGGGCGGTCACCACATTTCGGTCGTTAGAGTATTGGGGTCTCCGCACAGCTACATTTCACACAATAATTATTTCCACACATTAGAGGGTTTCCTTATGACCATAACATTATTATAACAACCCGTTCACGTCCAAGGCCACCTGCCCTGCCCCCTCGGCAGGCACAGGGCCTCCTCCCGGGTCAGAGGGTGCGAGGTTGGGCAGCCGAGTCACCATCAGCTCCAGGGCGCCTGGACCAGTGCCCAGCCCCCGTGGGGACGAGGGTCCCCGCTCCTTGTCGGTGGGGTAGGTCTGGAGGGGGTGGGGGGCACCTCTTCATACTGCCCAGGGTCCCAGTGAAGCGGAGCTGCCAACATGGTGTCAACTCTGAGCACAGCCCGGCGGCCAGAGGCAGCAGCTCCCAACAGTCCCCAGCAGCCCCCACCCCACAGGGACCCGCTCCATCCACACACAGGTGGTCCCTGGGCGCCCGGGAGGTGGTCCCCGGAGAGCAGCTCAGAGCCTCTGCCAGGAGCCCAGGCACGGGGGTGGGGTCAGGGGGTAGGAGGGAGTGGCAGAGGGGATAAGGAGGCGAGGGGAAATGGGGGGGCAGAGTGGGGGTGCCTCCAGCTCAGTGCCTGCAGCAGCAGTGCCACCGCTATGGTTCTCGTGGCTGTGGTTCCCGTGGCTGTGGTGCATGTGGCTGTGGAGCTCCTGGCTGTGGGAGGAATGGGCCTCTGGGAGGGGCTGGCGCTCCCTGCACCTCGGTCCTCCTGTGAGCGCGGGCCGTCCAGCAGTGCTGACCTCTCACGCACATGTGTGTGTAGAGAGTGTGGGGTGGGATTCCTGCTTCACCCCTGAGACCCCGGTGCAGTGCGCACGCCCAGCCCATTAAGGTTCTTTCCAAACACCGATCTCCACAGACCCAGCCCAGGCCGTCAGGAGCAATGCCTGGTCCTGGACGGGCAGCGTGGCCCCAGATGTGCCTGGAATATCCCGCTGGGCCACAAATTACGGAAAGGCCCATGGACTGAGGGACACGGACACAGGAATCCAGGAGACCCTTAAAGGGACTCCCTCTGCAGAAACCTGGGGTGATTTTAGCACCAGAATCAATGGGGTTCGTGGTCAGATCCCGTGAATGAAACAGGAAACGCTGAGGCCATGATGATATCAGTAGGACATGATGGATGGATGATGGATGGATGGATGGATGGATGGATGGATGAATGGGTGAGGGAATGGAAGGATGAAGGAATGAGAGAATGAATGAATGAATGGAAAAACGAATGAGTAAGTAAATGGATGGATGGATAAGTGAGTGAGTGAATAGATGAATGGGAGTATAGACGAATCAGGGAGTGAGTGGATGGATGAAAAAATTAGTGAGTAAATGAGTGAATGGGTGAATGGATGGATGGGTGAATGGGTGAGTGAGTGAATGATACCTGAGGACATTGCCTCCTTCCAGTGAGTGGTGTTGGTCAGAGGAGAAAATCAGTTGGTAAATGCAGGTGAGAAATGGAACGTGCTCACAGGCTGAGGTCTCTCCCCAAACTCGCTCAGCTCCACGAGCCTCACGTCTCAGGGTTTCTCAGTCTCAGGGTTTCTCCGGAAGTCTGACCGGAACCGGAGATTGACCTGCCCTCAAAGCATTTTGTCCAAGTTATTTTTATTGATAATAAAAAATTTAAAACATATAAAATTGCCAGTTGAAAATCGCTTCCCATACTGTGAGTCATGTGATGCGCAGACATGACCCCGTCCCAGTCCCAGGCCAGGAGGAGGCTGAGGCCCGTCCTGCAGCTGAGCTCAGGGCCCGGGGCGGCGGGTGGGGGCAGGAGCGCCCTGGGCCAGGGCCTCACACGCTGGGTCAGGAGGGGGGAGGTCGGCACGTCAGGAGCCCGGTGGGGAGACGCGGGTGGTCCCAAGCCCCCAGCACAGCAGGTGGTGTCCTCCTCAGCCAGGTGCGGGCTGGCCTCCAGGAGGGGGTCCCCGCTGGTGGTCTTAATGCAGCAGCTAGAAGGGTTCAGAAATCTGGAGAAGGCGCTGTGTGTAAATTAATCAAGAGTCCAGAGACGAAACATGATTTTGGAAGGCATTTTGGGGATCAGAGAAGACTTAGCTAAAGAAACTAAGTGCTCCTTGTCTCAGGACCCCTTGCTATTTATTAACACACTTTGCCCTAAAGGGAGGCAGATATACATCAAAGGGCAGGGCTAGTACACAGAGTCGATTGTCAGATGGGGGAACTGCC